AGAGCGGAGGCTGAGCCTTCTCGTTCAGGGCAGCGAACGCTCATCTGCTGCCGTGCCATCACCGTCTGCCCACGGTGCCCAGCGACACACGTCGTACCCGGGTACGTGTTACCCGTTACCGCTGAGCAATGGGCAGGGTAAAGAAAACAGCCCCTGGTGTGGCTTTGCCCAGGCCCGAGTCTGCGGGCACCCAGTCGCCGCTGCTTCGCTGATGCCCATAAGTGCACAGGCCTGGCTGAAGGCGCTGCTGGTTGTTGTGCCATTAAATCCGCGCTGGCGCGGCGGTGGAAAAGGGATAATGCAATTTTTGGAAGCGGCTGTTCGGATGCAGCAGCTAACACCTGCTCCGGAGCTGTACGAGGAGCAGCGAGTGTGCCAAGTGCACTTAGCCACGCTGGCCCGGAGCACGGCGCGATCCTGGCAAACGGCTTCTCCCGATTGAGAGTTGTAGAACACTGGAACAGGTTGCCCAGAGAGGTGGTGGATGCTCCATCCCTGGAGACGTTCAAGGCCAGGTTGGATGAGGCCCTGAGCAACCTGATCTAGTTGGAGATATCCCTGTTCCTTGCAGGGGGGTTGGACTAGATGACCTTTGAAGGTCCCTTCCAGCCCTAACCATTTATGATTCTATGATTAATGCCCCTCTCAGTGTCTGCGGCGTTAACATCTCGCCAGCGAGCTGGTCTTGGGTGCGGGTTAGGAGGAGGTGATTTGGTTTAGGTTACGGGTGCTTTTCTGTCTTTATTTTACATTTTAGTCTCTACAGAGAAATGGAAAGATGTCACGCAAGCCTTATGATGACCTGTTTTGTTTTTTTTTCCATCCTGATGGTATGTGTCATGAGTGCACATGGTTACCATGCCCTGGGTTTTAAAGCCTCTCCCCCTCCCAGATGTTTCCGCACTAAATCACAAGTTTCTTTTGCAGAAGCAGAAATTGAGGTCAATATGCAAAAGAAAATACGTGCAAAGCCGATGTCTGGCAGGAGAAACGCTCTGAAGGTGGATGGGAGAGACTGTGGGGCTCGCAGCGACGTCTGTGCAAAAATAAAACACTTTGCTGCTGTCTGTGTGGCCGGGGCTGGGTTAAGCAGTGTTCAGCCCCCCCCGCCCCCAGTACCTGCCAGTTCTCTGGATCCTTTTTGTTTCAGCTCCTCCCCATGGTGGGAAGCTGAGCTGGGAGGCTGTTTGAGTTGAGCTGCTCCACTAATAGGCATTTATAAAAAAAAATTTGGTAAAAAATCAAGTCGTTATTGTCAGCATCAAGGAAATGTCACGTACGCTCTCACAGAGTGAGAAGTTGTCATCCTTTGGCTGTCTCCTCTTGCTGTAGTATCTCTCTGGGGATGCTTCAGTGGTGGTGTTTAATAGCAGCCATTAGATAGGCTGTGTGCTAAAGCCCTTTTTCTTCTGCCACAGCCTTGTCCTTTCCTCTCTGCTCCCCCGTTGGCGTCGGTGACGGTCTCTGTATGAGAGGGTCCCTGTTCTTGCTGAGCTTCCAGCCAGAGCTCCAGGCTCTGTTCAGAGGGAGGTCAGGATTCTTCTGAGGCATCTCCTTGGTCCTCTCAATTTATCGCTTCTTCCTCTCGTCTCTGGTGTACCAGTGGTCTTTCCTGCAAAGTGTTCCCATAGTCCCATCTCCCCATTTTATTCTTAGGGGATTTTGCACTGTACATTAACTTTTTCCCTGATGTGTCAGTGAGATGCTCCAAGCAGTGTCCAACACTATTACACAGACCATTCCCTTTGAAAGGGAGAGGATGATGCAAAGAAGGGTGAAGAGCAAACTTCAGGGACTTCTTCCCAGTTACCACAAAAGCTTTTTTGCTCACTTCTCCCATGAGGTTGATGTCATCATGCTGTCTAAGCACAAAGTCAGGATGCGCGACGTTTCTGCCAGCCCGTGATCTTCCTGCAAAGCCTTTAGTGGTGCTGGTACCCCTCCCCATTCCCTTCTGGAGGTTTTCTCTGTTGAAATGCCCCCGTGCATCGTGTCATCACTGTGGTGGAGTGGCTGGGCTGTGGTGTTGGTTGGACTGGGCTGAAATCAAGCTCTGGCTGCCCAGGTGGAGCCCTGGTGCCACGGCTGAGCTCATCCCCGTGCTCTGCCCAGCTCCAGGTGCTGCCAGCTTGGTATTTTCAGAAGTAAGAAATCCACAGGTCAGCGTGTGCGGGGCTGTGCTTCCCTGCTGCTGTTTGCTGTGACAACCAGCTGCTCCTGCTGCCCGTGGCTGGGAGCTGGTAACCCCTTGGTCTGTCACGTAAGAAAGCTTTAGAGCTGAAGCAGTGTTCGTGGTGGGTAACCTGTTAGGTGAGAGGGTTTGGGCACTTTCCTGTACTTAGGTGTGCTGTTGCTTGAAGGAAAAGCTCCTGCAGGAAACAATCCTCTGCTGGGCTAGACCTTAGGAGGCTTGGGTTTCATGTCTAGCTCCGTGCTGCCTGGCTCGAAGCACAGAGCAAGGCAGCGGTTCACCAAAGTGGCAGAAACTGCAAATGGAGAACTAGGTACTGTTGTAATTATTTAATTTCTTTAAATAGTGGTCCCTCTGAGTTAGAGTGGCACCTCAAGTAGCCACTGCTTAGTGTCCTAATATCACTGATCAATGAAAACTATTTCATAATTTAAGTTAGACTGTTTTCTTAGGGACGCGGAGGCTGCCTAGGGAAGGGTCTCTGTCTCCTGTTCCATCTGGGCTGGGGATGCAGCAGTCTGAAGCATAAACATTAATAATACAGTGGGTATTATTCAAATGAAGGCTGCCACTTTTCCTTTGTGGGAATAAACCCCTGGGTAATCGCTGCACATACTTATCTGTTCCTATAATTGCTTTCTGCAGAATCACTTCAAAACAAGCGGTGCTGGCAAGATGCTGGTCTCCCTGCTCTTCCCCCAAGTGAGCCGGCCCCTTCGATGCCTCGTCCGGGACTGGCACCGTTGCAGATGGGGGTTGCCCGGGCAGAAGAGGGCTGACTGTCCCCGCAGAGGTCTGCAAACCCCACGGGCAGCCTACAGCAGTGACGTTACCCCTGTCTTCACCAGGGCTTTGGGTTTCGGTGATAAAATCGCCATCGTTGACCAAAACGGTGAGCACACTTACAGGGACCTTCTCAGCCAGAGTCTACGCTTGTCCCAGGAGATCTGCAGAGCTCTGGGGTGCTCCAGCAGGGACTTAAAGGAAGAGAGGATCTCGTTTTTGTGTCCCAATGACGCCTCGTACGTGGTGGCCCAGTGGGCTGCCTGGATGAGCGGGGGCATAGCAGTGCCCCTTTACAAGAAGCACCCGGTGCAGCAACTGGAGTATGTGATTCAGGATTCGCAGAGTGCCCTGGTCGTCGCAGCAGAGGACTATGTGGGGAGAATAGCCCCCAGCGCCGAGAAGCTGGGAATCCCGGTTCTGCCGCTGCTTAGGTCTCCTAGCAATGGATCTGCAAGTCGTGCAGCAGTGGAAGAGGGTCCCTTGACAGCCTGCTCCTCGTGGAAAGACAGAGGAGCCATGATAATCTACACTAGTGGGACGACAGGAAGACCAAAAGGTGTCCTCAGCACCCATGAGAACGTGCAAGCTGTGGTGAGTGCTGCTTTCTCTCCGCAAAGCTCGTGCCAAGTTACAGAGGTCTTGGCCTTCAGAGGTGGTTTGGGGTTGGAAACCCCAAAGTATGACATACCTTACTGCAACCAAATTCCTGGACAGAGCTGTGAGGCTGTAGCTTGAAAGTCCTCGATGCTTTTAAGGTGAACACCCAGAGAAGTGTTTGAGTCTCTAAACCTGATCTAGTTGGAGATATCCCTGTTCCTTGCAGGGGGGTTGGACTAGATGACCTTTGAAGGTCCCTTCCAGCCCTAACCATTCCATGATTCTCTAAACCTTGTGCTTTTTGGTGTTGCTGTGCTGCAGCTGCAGCCAGGGGCAGATGGACTCTTCTCTTTGCTTTCCTGGAGAGCAGAAGGGATGAGACCTGTTGTCAAAAGACTGCTTTTTTTTTTTTTTTTTCCAGTGTGCTTTGCTTTTCTGTGACTAGGAAAGAATCTTTGCCCCTAATTGGAATATAACTTAGCCCAGCCCAGTACAGTACTGTGTGAAGTCTGTGCATTATTCAGCAATATATCCCCAAGGCAAAAAAAAATCCATTAGCTCTCTGAGCCAAAAGGAATGGAAAGTTTGAACGAGCCTGCTGACTGCCTCACCAGTTGGTTATCGCTGCCTAAAACTGATAGACTCATGCCATTAGGGAAAAAAAGGCAGGGAATACAGCGTGCCTTACGAGAGCTCACGTTGCTCCGGATGCTCGGATACTGCAGTGTCGGGAGCGGTGTGAAAGCCGTGATGGATAGAGCCAGGGCTTGGCTATACTGGGCAAGGAATCTCTTCCCTTACAAATATGCTGATCATTTGGGAGGTGGCCTGGGCAGCCACTGTCTTTTGTGCTGTCTCACAGAAAGCCTGTGGAAGAGGGTTGTGAGTGACACGACTAAATTCCACGCTTCAAATGCTTTTTTTATTTTTGGATGGCTGGAAATAAGCTTTCCAGTTGCTAACGCTGGGCTCGGAAGGGCGTTGTTCACCCAGAAGTCTGGGGTCTAGAGCTTTAGATAATTATTCCTTCATAGCAGACTATTTTAGAAGCTTGATACACTGATATTTTTTTGCTAACAAGAACCTTACTTTCTGTTCAGCAGACAGTGATTTTTCTGCTCTTACTGACTATCCCTTGCAGGTGCTAAAAGCCCATTATCACCAATGTCCAAACTATGTCAACAGAATTCTGGGAAAATTAGTTTTTTGGTTATTGTTGCTGCCAACTCTGCACGTGCAGCAGCAGGCTGATAATCTTGTAGGTCCTGCTTAAAATCATTGTTGACTGTTTCTTAGTAGCGAGGAAGGGCTCTGCTGATATATATGAAGATGTGTAGTGACGAGATGTGGAAGGTCTTCCTCTTGTATTCTACTGTTGTGGTGGGAATTTTGCTCGTGCTGACCCTAAAGAAAAGATTTTTTTGTGCTTGGGCATCGTTCCAGGAGGTCTGGGATTTCTGCTGCCAGCTGTGCCCAGGGGATCTGGGGCCTGGGTACCTCAAGCTTTCCAAGCAGTGAGAGTCTTTCCTCCTGCCCTAACACTGGGTTGTATGTTTTCTTCTGCAGACCACAGGGCTGGTTGAAAAATGGGAGTGGAAGAAGGACGATGTTATTCTGCACGTGCTGCCTTTACATCATGTCCACGGGGTGATCAATAAGCTCCTCTGTCCTCTCTGGGTGGGAGCGACATGCATCATGTTACCCGAATTCAGTGCACAGATGGTAAGCCTGGAGGGACTGCGCGTTGTCTTTAAAATTCAGCAGCAAGACCCCATGCATTGTAATTAGAGCAACTTGGGAAAGAAGTTCTTAAAGACTTCCAGCCTCTTTAGCCACTGGCTGCGTGTGGTTCACAAACTGTCTGTTAAAAAATGCTTTCAGTTGGACGCTCAGTCTGGGGTAAACGTGCTCTTCTGGAGGCTGCAACGTGTTTAAGCGCGTTACGTAACGTAGTCGGAACGCTGCGCTGCCCCCCCTCGCGACGTTGAGGGTCTCTGACTGGAGGTGGGCCCTTCTAAGTGCCCACTAAGAGCATCTCCATCCAGAATAAGGGTTGTTAGTTTTCTTGTACCAGGAGAGGTGGAAATACTGGGTTTTTCTCTTGCGTGTTAGTGGTGTGCTGCGTGTCGGATGTTTAATTTTTGGTAGCTTGCGTTTTGCCTCCCAATTCTATGTCCTTGGTGTTTTGTATGGTGTTACATGACAGGACACAGGCTTGAGAGTTTCTTACAGCCCAGGTAGGAGAAATACTGGTACTCATCACTTGCGTGGAAACCTTGCTCTTCCTCTGTGGAGAAGCAAGTGTTAACAGATCTGTTGGTTTAGACCTAGAGATGAGAGTCTGCAAATGGAGAGCATCTTGCAGGAAAGGTGGCAGGAGGGAAACCTCACCTGAATGTTTGTGATGCTGTTTTCTAGCTGAGACAGGAGATGCCAGTCCCGCTGCTCTGCCTCTCTTTTGTTCCTTGTCTGGGTGGCAGACAGCTGACCTAAAGAGAGGAGGAAAAAGGACTAGAAACAGGGTGACCAACAGCGAGGTGGAACAGCTTCTGCAGTTCCTGGCCCCTGGGATCCAGCATTGTTCATCTACGTCTCCCAGTGTGGTGGGTGGTGGGAGACGTTGGAGTTTGCAGTGTCACTGGGAGGGGAGCGGTTGGGTTTGCAGATGCTGGTGCCACCTCGTAGCAGAAAGGAAACGCGTGTTGTTGGTACAGAACTCGCTGGGAAAGTGGAAATGGCCCGTCAAGCCTGTGCTTGGTAACTAAACAGGCTGCTTTACCCATTGGTATTTATTTGTGTGCTGGGTGGCCTTGTGAAAGGGACAGAGTGTGGGATACACCCAGAAACCTTGGACTGCCGCTCTCGGGCGAGTCGGGGCTCTGATCCGAGCGACTGCAGGACCACGTGATTATTTTCATTGCTTGTTTCTGCTTATCAGAGAAGCAACCACAGAAAATGCACGCTTCCTTTCTTGTTTCAAGATGGCCCTGACTCCTGAACACCCAGTTGCTGCCTGAGCACTGGTGTGTTCCTGACAGGGGGGAAAAAAATTCCAGAATCCCAGAGGGGCAGCTCAGCATTTGCATTTCCAGAGTAAATAGGTAGGATGCTGTGGCAGAAGAAGACAGGAGGGTGTGGCAGCTGTAGCTCCTCGATGATCACTGCCAAATTGTCTTCCCTCCCTGCTTAAGGTGTCACCCCAAAGGCTCAGGGTGTAGTAGAGACATGTGGCCCATGCTCTGGTGATGCTGGTGAGGTGGCAGAGGAAGGTGCTGGCAGGCTGGAAGCAAAGCCAAGTCCTCTGGAGGGCGCGTTTCTCCACGTCCTGTGCCACCCGTGATTGATTGTCCCTCATACCCTTGTGTTTTTCTCTGCTCTCTCCCGACATCTGCAAATCAATGAGCTGAGGTTGAAGGATGGGTTCAGGTGCAGGGGGGGAGCGGGACACCCCCGCCTGCCTTCTCCCATCAAAGCTCCCCCCCCAGATTCGACAGCCAAGGGCAAGCGGGGACGGTGCCAGAGGGCATCCGTTTGACCCTGAAGGTTGAACTTGGGCAGGGAGGTCGGTGTGGCACGCGCAGTTCCGAGGGCTCTCGGGTGCGTTTGGGCTCTGAAGGATGTAATTTCCTTTTCTGTTATTTTTTTTTTTTTTTATTCTTTTATTTTTCCGAGAGCCTCCCCTGGGAGCTGAAAGTGGTTTGATCGACACTACAAAGCAAGCACATGAGGGTAAATAAGGCTTTCTTGTGGAGTTTAATGCAAGCTGCCTTTCAGTTCCAGTCTATTTTCACCAGCTGTTTACAAAATGCCCTTTGCTGCTGAAATCAGCTTTCAGCAGAGCAGCGGAGTTTCGGCGGAGGATTTTGCAGAAGCAGCCCGAGTTTTACCGTGCGCTTTTTTCCCTCCGCTGCACCTTGAGAAAGCAGCCAATTATAGTGTGATATAAAGAAACTCGAATGGCAGCTAAAACACTTGACAGGCTGATCAAAACAAGGCGAGGAACTTACTCTCAACCTGCTGCAGACATATTTAGCCTTGAGTGATACTGGCAAGGCTTCAAGAGAAACCGCAGCAGCATGCCCGATGTGTGTTTGGTTTCTAATCACTAACACTTCATTATACAAAATAAATACTTTATTATTACAGTGTTTATTAAATTACATAATTTGCGGCGTGCCGTATAGTCGTGGCTACAGATGCCAGTCTGGTTTTGGTGGTGGTAATCGTGTTCTTTTTTTTCTTAGTTAGAAGATGTTACGAGCCCTGGACCAAGGCTTGCGTGTCGTTCCCTGCGGTGCAGTGTTAGGAGGTGGTGTCTTTCAGACCCTTCCATCTGCTTTTGGGAGCTATCCAAGGAAAGGTTAAAAATCAAGACTGTGGAGTAACCCCAGTGTCCCGACCAACATCCATCCACTCTCTTACTAAAACAGCATCTCATGTCCACGGCTGCACGCAAGCTATTGCTGAGGCCACAAGGGCTCGTTAAAGTGTATCGAGATGCCTCAAGCGTGAAAGTTGCTGCATAAAATCAGATTCTTTTTATTAAATGAGGACATCCATTACTTTGCACTAGCTACTGTACATGTTATAATTCACTTTATAGCACCATCTGTTACGGCTGTCTTGCTTAAGCTTTTTGTAGCATCTTTTTATCGTAAGTTATTAAAAAATATGGCTGCATCTATTAATCATTTATTAATAAAGGGTTTATAAATGGACCCTTAACTTCCAGCAGTACAGTCCTCTCAAAGGTGGCATGCAAAGTCCTCTGGTGCATGTACTCCTTGGGGTGCAGCGTGTCTCCACGGGAGAGCGTGGGAGCAGCACCCAGTGCTCCTACCTGTGCTCCTGCTGCTCAGGAATGACAGTGCTGATGGTGTGTGTGGGGGGGAGATGTTTCAGTGCTGCTGTGGCCATGGGGACTTGGAGCAGGCAGGAGAACAGCAGCGAGCCTGAAAGCGTGTTCCTCCCAGCAGCTGTGTGGGGCAAGGATGGCTCTGATGATGATGGTTTTCTATTTATTTTCTTGTTTTTCAAATAAGGGTGAGAACTGTGAGGGCAGAAACCTTCTTTGGCACCAGCGCAAGCTGCAGCCTGAGCATCCCTATGTGATCCTCCCATCATAACTGGCTTCCAAGCTAAGTTTACTTCTCCAGCTGCACTGTTCCCGTTTGCAGGCAGCCAGCATTTCTCAGCAGCTTCTGGACCTGTTTGAAACGCCTGCCTTTTTTCTTATGCAGGAGTAGAAATTTTAAAGATGCTGGATTTGTACAGTTTTTGTGCAAATTGGCAGCCAGAGGAGAAGAGGCTAATGCCTCTGCTTAAGTAAGAAGTGCAAGGTGAGCCTTGGGCATCAGAGAAGGCCCTGAGCAAGTGCTGTTTTGAAGGCCTCCGTGGGCATCGGTGTTTGCACCGGGCAGACACTAGAGCATCCGTTCCCCAGCGACTCCCTCTCTCCATCTCCCTGCCCCGCATCGATTCGGTGACGGCTGCTGAGGCTGAGCACGCCGTGTGCCGTGACTGTTACTCGATGGAAATGTCAGCAGGTCTGGAGAGACAGACCCGGGGGAAGCCAGGCGTCCTCTGTGCCGCTGCTCTTGCCATGACAGTCGCATGTCAGCAGCCCTGTTCCGACCGGGACCTGGCTGTGCTGGGCACCCTGCGGACAGGAGCCTTTCGTAGCGAGTCGTGAGGTCAGTGGCTGCTTTGCAGGTTCCTCTGCTCAGGCTTTTGGCTGATGTGGATCTACTTGGAGTCTGAGTGACGGGAATGGCTTGTCCTTGCCTTGGACCACCTCTGATCTTGCCTTAAGGGAAAGATGTTCTAATACCAAAAGGCTCCCTGTCAGCTCTGTGCATTGATAAACGTGAGATCAGATCCCAGGAGGTCATTCAGTCCCAAGTGCTGAGTGGGAAATTAAAGTATTCAAAACCATGAAAAACTTGCTCTGATGAGTGATGGGGGAAGCTTGTAGAAATCTCAGCTCTGTGTGACCCAGTTGTGACATGTGCTGCCTGCTTGGCTCTGCTGGGCAGGTTCCGAGCTGTGGTGTGCTGCCTGCAGAATGACAGCCCTGCCTGTGCCCTGCAACTGCTTCCATGATAAATGTGCCAAGATGCAGATTTATTGCCCTAAAGTTCCAAAAGGAGCTGTTGTTTTGGTGCCAGCATTCTGCGTGTCCGACTTAAGGTGCCCCCGAGGATCGAGCCCTCTAAAAACCGTACCCAGTTTTACAATGCCACACGTAAAGCCATCAAAATCATTCATTTTATTTGGACCTTCCTTTCCAGGCGTTTGTCCTGATGGGAATGATGAGTGCCCAAAGCTAGTGTGTGATTTGGAACGAATTCCTCCGACGTGCCGTGAGTGTTGTCACCCGTGGCAGCTCTTTCCCGCGGTGGGAAGGTGCCACAGACCTGATCCTCGTCGAGGTTGCGTGTGAGATGCTGCTCCGGGCTCGCCGGCGCACCGTACGGTTACAGCCCTGCATCGAGCTCGTGCTGCCTTCCTCCCGAAGACCAGCAGTTTGATCCACGAGCGAGCTGTTGGTCCTCGCCGCTGCCGTTCTCTGCGCGCCGCAGGCGAGGCTGGGGCTGGGTGCTGGTGCTTTGTACCTTTGCTGGGATGTGCAGGGAGATGCAGGGCTCGGCTGTCACGGTTGCCTCCGGGAAGGAGAAGCGTGCACCGCAGCCAGCCTCTTCCCCTGGGTCTGTCACTTCGACAAACATCACTCCGGACAGCTCTTTTAGTTTATTTTGAAAAGAAAAGCAAATCCAGGCAGAGGAGTCTGGTCTGTGATAACCAAACACCGCTGAGATGCTGCTCGTAGCGCGTTGGGGATTGTGTCTCCCATGCAGTTTCAGTTGGAGAAAGGCAATTGTCTTTTCATCTGTTAATGGGAGGTTTCAGAGGAGTGATTTGATTCCAGACTCAAAGAGGAGTCGGTGGAGGGAGGAGCAGGTCACTAGTGAATGGATTATGTTTGATCACTTCTCGCAGACCTGGCTTTAAAAAGTGAGAGTTTTTCTTCCCGTCTCCCCAGATCTGCCGTCTGTCCTCAGCATCTGTTACGGAGTAATGTCTTTTGATGTGTGTGGGGAAATATAAAAAATGGAACCAGAGCCTGTCATATTTACTTATATTACCAGGTCCCAGGGAAAGCACTTGCTCCTTTCAATATGCCTACAGCATAGGAAGGGTTGAACAGCGTTCAGCCTGGAATGCAGAGGGGCCATCAAACTGCACTGATGAATAAATCATTAAAACCAGAGTCGTGCAGCGCGCAAACAGTTTGGGGTTGTAACAACCACGAGATGAAGCCACCAAGGGCCCAGTTTCCCTTTGAAGAGAAGAACGTTTCTCTCTCTGCGTATCGCTCATGAGCCATCCGTGGCTCGGTCTGTAGCGGAGAGCAGAGCTCTCCCATCTCCCGTCTGCCTTTGTCAGGGATAAACTGGTGTCGAATGTGGATGCATGGCCCTGCCACCCCTTTTATTGCTTCTGTTGGGCACGGGGTCTTGCCAAACGAGGGGCTGCCTATTGCTCTTGCAGACGCTCCGAAAATTGCAGGCAGCCCTTTTCCTCGCCGGCGGTGCTACCCGCACGGCAGCGATCGATGCGAAATGCAAACCCATCTTCCCTGATCAGGAGGGAAGTAAAAGGATGATTTAACCTTGCATTAGGGGTGGTGTTACTTCTGAAAAGGTTTAAAAAAAATTCAATAACAACTGAAAACGATAGCAATAATTTTATAAAAGAGAGGAGCTGTTGTATCTGTCAATAGAGGCAGCAGCGCGGGCTCTCTGTTATCTGTTTGTGGTCTGATGGGAAAATCCATGCTGGTATTCCCTTCCTTTTCAGCTTTTAGGTGGTTTTGCCTGCATCTCTTCTGGCTGTTTTTGGGAGTCCTGTATCAGGCAAAGTCTTGCAAGATTTAGCACACAAATGGTTGTTGCCACCTTCTCTTCTTTTTTTGCATTAGAAGATGCCCAGATGTTTTCTGTCTGGTTTATGGCGTTGCACCTCTCCTTCTGGAGGTGAGATGTCTGTAAAGGAAAAAAAAAAGTCACTGCCATTTCTCCTCTGTGTTTGCATCTGTTGCTTCGAGTGATCTGAGCAGGTCTGGAGGCTGGCTGGGGAGGGCGCTGTACGGGG